CCGTCGAACGTCGAGGGCTGGTGCTTGTGCTCGACGTGCGGTGCGGCGGACTAGTGAGGCTCGCCGATTCGGCGGGCAGGCTCGACGGCTGGTCTGGCGTCGCCGGAGGTTCTCTAAGAGGACTCGGCGGTCGCGCCGGCGTCCTTGGTTGCTGCAGCGTTGATAGCCGCGGGCTCGGAGGCCATCTCCGGACGGGACTCCGCGGTCGACCTGGCGTTCGTGGCTTCTGCGGCGTTGTTGGCAGCGGGCTCAGAGGCGCCAGTGAGGAACGAGATTGGGCGCAGCCGACGCCCGTCTGCGTGGAGCGCGAGACTTGGGTGGTGACCGGCCGAGGTCGTGGGTCCGCCAACCTCCACCTTGTCACTCTCTCGTCTGGCAGGTCCACCAGGATAAGTCTCCACGGCAGGAACGATACCCCCGGGTCCAAACGTCGTCCTTCGCAGATCTCGGGGGCCGACGGAGGAGGGCTCCTGTGTCGAGCGACGGGCGCCCTTGCGGCTGGGGGACGTTCAGGTCCCAGCCTCCACTGCAGATCCGTCACTCCCGGATCCAGGTATTGTCCTTGATAAGCTCGGGGGCCGACGGAGGAAGGTTCCCAGGTAGAGCGACGACAGGCGCCCTTGCGGCCGGGGGACGGTCCGGTCCCTGTTTCCTTGCCCGCGGGATGGTGGTGGTCGTCCTGTCACCGGCGGCGTGAATTTCGTCTGGGTGGGCAGAGGAAAAGAAGGCAGAGGCTCTAGCGGAAACTTTGGATCGAAAGGTCGGGACTCCCGCTTCCTTTCGATCTCAAAGAGCCGAGCTCGCTCTGTCGAGGGTACAGGTATCTCAAAATGCTTCAGGATAACGGCCTACGAGGTAAGCTCGCGTTATCCTGAAGCGAGGAACAGGCTGAGGACCTCCCACGGAGTCATAGATATAGCGGGCGTGGGTGTTTCTTCATTACGAGATTTGTCGTGACGCCTGCGGCGCCTAGCGGCGACGCCGCGCACCACTCTCGTCACGTGGCGGGCGCGCGCGGGCTCGGCGCGCGGGCCAAGCGCGCGTGCATTAATGTAAGCGTATTGCTACAGTATAAACAGTTAATGAAATTTCAAGAGCAAACGGTTAGCAATAGTGGTACATTATGTTGTTGGCAACATGTAAGCAACATGTCAGCAATAAATGATTAAAGGTTCTATCTTGAGCATCATGATGAAATCATGTCGGCAACAAAACATATGTTGTGATTTCCATTTGTTGTTGCGTATATGTTTTCAAGCTATGATATTTTTTAATTGTAGCTCGTTGCTAAAAATGTTGACAATAAAAAATGTCATACGTTTACGACAACTTTTTGGTAAAAAAATATAGTTTTTTAGATTTAAATTATATATGAATACTTACAATACTGCTGCTAGATAGCGTTTGTTGGTATCTGTTTTTCGCATTTACAATTTTGTCCAGCTCTCTACATAACTAATATCTAATCGAAGTTCGGACATGTCATAATTATTTGTGCACTCTTCATAATTATGTGTGTGCACTTAGTATGAAATATGAATAATGTTTTGGAGCAAAGAAGCTTGGTAATGTTTTAAAATATTAAATTTGCAATTGTATTACTATTAATATTACAAATACATTAATATAATATTTACAATTATATTAATGCAATAAATTCAATAAAGTACAGCATGTTTTAGCATTTTGTCAGCATATGTAACATTCATTAGGCATATATCCCGTCATGTTGCTGTCAACTATTGAGTGCAGATTGAGTACCGATGATAACAAGTTGTCTACAAGTTGCTGACAATTTGCTGACAATATGCTGATAATCGTGGATGACAAATTGTCAACTCGAGTTGTCATCAAGTTGCTGTTATAAATTGATGCTGACATGTTGCCATTAATTTGCCGTCATCTGAATTTAAATTCACATGAGGACAACACGACAGACATAATGCTGAAGCACCTTGTCCCGAGTTTTTCAAAATTAGTTGCTGCAACGTTTGTTGACAACAACATAGCAAACTCGCTACATTTGGCTATCTGGGAAAGAGTTATACCGAAAGTCGTTTTGCTGCGAGAGTTTCCAAACTGTATAAGTAAATTGTGGGACAAATTACCCGAACATATAAAAGCTGATTCGGAAGTTCAACAGTATCGTCGGTGTCTGAAACATTACAATCAACCGGGGCAGCAGACACATATTGACGGTCCTGCACCGTTTGTAAAGAATTGCAGCGAATGCCGTCGAGAGGCCGCGGTTTGATAAATCGCGCGATAAATGTGCTTCCTTTCGAATTGCATATCCCCGGATATCAGTTTTGCGGCCCGGGAACGCATTTAGAACAGCGATTGGCTAGAGGTGATCGGGGCATTAATCCGCTGGACGCGGCGTGTCGCGAGCACGACATCGCATATTCGCGGAGCAACGAACT